AAACCAATTAACCATTGTCTCCAAGAAAAAGATTAAGTAAAAATATTATAAATATCCAAAAAGAAAATATGACAATAATTTAGTACCAAACTATGACTTATCCATTCTCAACAATCTCATACCTTAATATACGCATAGACATAATAGATTTCATCAATTTATGCTTCAATAATCAAATTGAAAAATACAAGTAATGCTTTCCTAGATCAAACCCTTGGACAAAAATTAGAGATAATTAATGATCCACAAAAATCAAATTCCACCTTAAAACACACAATTCAAACACACAAATCTCGATATAAAAATAAATAAATAAAAATTCAATCTTCTTTTTTTCTCCCAAAATATATCACATTCAAAACTTTCATTGATATCCTCCATTGAAAGTAGAGAATTGTATAAAAAAAAATACTTACTCAACAAGATAATTTGTCCAAGTGGGTACTGGCTTGCATCTCATCTCCATGTTTCTCTTCTAACTTCAATGGGGGAGTGTCTCCGGTTGATTGCCCAGCCCGCGTCACACCTGGCGGCCGGCGGAAAACGTGCTCCGATCGGAATCGATTTATGCCGAATGTGTCCCTGTTTTGTTATCCAATTACTATGTGCTCCCGTTTAGTGATGTTTTGAGGTGGGACTCGTTCTCGATAAAAGTGAATGTTTCGGATATCCCACGGTTGAAGGAGATATTGCTGGCCGTGACGGAGGGTGAGTATCTGAGGTTAATTCCTGTCGTCTCTGAAGGCTGTGAGCGACGGAGATGGGGTTGAAGACAGAAATCGGTAGCGGCTGAGGTGAGGTTCGAGACGATGGAGGCCGACAATTGGAGAGTTTTTTGGTGTATATGTGATTCTCTAATGGACACGAGTTGAGTAATCAAGAGTAATCAAGGTATCTTAAAATATGATTTACTTACTTCCTTAAACACTTTATACCATATATTAATTCATTCACATGATTGGGTTTGTCTCTGCCTCGAGGGGACTTAGATAAGGGGACCCTTTGTCCCCTTATCTATTTATTATCATCTCTGAGGTCTTATCTCAATTGCTGAATGATGAAGTGAGGCTTGGTGATGCAGAGGGTCTGAAAATGGCCAGAAATTGCCCTTCTATTACCCACTTATTGTTTGCAGATGACACTTGTTCTCTGTGAGGCTAATGGAAGTCATGCTCATTCTCTGTTGACTATCCTGCACAAATATCTGAGGTTCACTGGCCAGAGACTTAATATGAGCAAATCCTCAATTTTCTTCAGTAAGAACACTCTGGGTGCTGTTAAATCAAATGCTTACCATATTCTGAGTAGTATACAGGAACACAGATCCTCAAGATATTTGGACTTACATCTGGGCATTGGGAGGTCAAAGAAAGAAGCATTTGAGTTTGTGGTTAAAGCTGTGAGAACTAAACTTGTTAGTTGGAAAAACAATTGGTTGTCACGGGCTGGCAAGGAGGTCCTTATAAAGGCAATGGTTGAAGCTCTTCCTGTTTTTCTATGTCTTGCTTTTGTTTGCCTAAATCAATTTGCAGGGATATTGCAAGAATGACAGCTCACTTTTGGTGGAGTAAGGAAGACCAGCTCAAGGGTATACACTAGAAAAAATGGAACTTCATGACACTGCCTAAATCTGTTGGGGGGCTTGGCTTCAAGGACATTAATCTTTTTAATGAAGCTCTAATCTTGAAACAACTGTGGAGAATCACTGCTCAACGCCAAGAAATCTTCTAATGCTTCTTGGTTATGGAGTAGTTGGCTCCAGGTCAGGGACAAATTCAGCCAATTTTTCAGAATTGAAGTCAGAAGTGGTAGAAATACTAGTATTCGGTATGATCCATGGATACCCACAGTGGACCTGCAACAAGTTTCAGGAAGGAGTCTTGTTTCCAGTGAAATGAATTGGGCTGCAGAGCTTTTAGAGGATGGTGATAGAAGATGAAACAGAGCATTGCTTAGAGAACTTTCCCCCAGTCAGGTACAAGAGGCTATCCTTAAAATCAAATCTTTTGATCCTCTTTTAGCTGATAGGTGGATCTGGACAGTAGATGGCAAAGGAAAATTCTCTGTTGCTTGTTCTTATAAATACCTGATTGAGCAAAAGGTTAGAGTAATGGACATAGCTGAAGGCAGTGCTTCCTCTGGGAGAGACAGAAAGGTTAGGCTCAAAAGCTGGGGATTGAAGATTAAAAGCAAGCTTAAGCATTTTCTGTGGAAGTGCTATACAAATGTTCTTCCTGTGAGTCAGAGCCTTGTTAGAAGAGGCATGATGATTGATCAAATTTGTCACAGTTGTGGAGAAGAGGTGGAAACCATTGAGCATGTATTGTTTAGTTGCAGGGTTGCCCAATAGGTTTGGAAAATGGCTCCAGTAGTATGGAATAATCCTCCATCTGCTAATAGGTCTTTCAAGGCTTGGTGGTAGAGTATCTGTGAGGCAGGGGAGAAAATTGTTGTTGTATATAGGATTGAACTAACCACATATTTTCTTTGGTGGTTATGGAAATCCCGAAACCTGTGGAAGTTAAAAATGAAAGGCTCCATGCTATGGTGATTTCAGCAGCTTGTGGAGGCTGGCAGGTATTCTCATATTGCATTGAAACAGGGACTTTTATGTGAAGATGGTTGATGCTGCTAGGTCCTTAGGTTCAGTTGGAGCATTTTCCATTAGCTTGTGTTTTAATCCTGTTTATGTATTGTTAGTTGTAAGTTCATTGCTTTGATATTGTATCTAAAGGTCTCAGTTCTCCTACTGCCTATAGTAGATTGGTTGTGTGGGTTTGTTCAGTTTGCATTCTAGAGCATCAGGGGGGATGCTCTCCAATGTTTGGTTGTATTTGTACTCTGAACTTGGGGCTATTCAACTCCTGGCTTGTACTTATTTCTGTTGAATGCATTTCCTATCGTTTGAAAAAAAAAATATATAATTTGTCAAAGGCCCGAAACTGGATGGACGATGTGCGAGATCGGGGATGATATTTTTCTTCTCAAGTCTCAAGGGAATTTTTTTTTGGTATAACTTGCAGGTTCCCATTTGTTACCCTCATCCAATATATTATATATTTCTAGTAAATTTACTAAAATACCCTTGAAATTTTTTAACATTTGAGGGGGCCCAGTGCCCCCCTGGCCCACTACAACTCTGTCACTGTGGGCGACTTCTCGGCATAAACATTTTAACGCTTAAGGAAAAAGTTCAGATTGTGGTCGGGCACAAGAAAATTATATTAAGTAGT